CTTCCCCTCCCCAAGCTCTGGGAAGATGCAAAGCCCTGTAATTATTATTAATTAATTACCAGCCCAGGGAATAGGGCTCGTCTCTGGTGTGTTAACGAGGCTGCGCTCTTCCATCAGGGCTGGAGGGTTCCTTGCTAACCCCGGAGGGATGGACAGAGGGACATCAAGACATGGGGAACAAGCACCACCAAGAGCTTAAATTAAACCAGGGGTTTTAATTAAAGGAGGGTGTGTGGATGTATTTTTGCACCCCTTAAACAGGAGCTCAAGGACAAGATGACGGAGCTGCTGCCGCTGCTGCCCGTTTTGGATCAGTACAAGTCGGACACGAGGCTGATTGTGCACCTGAAGGAGGAGGTGAGGAACCTCTCCGGGAGCTTGCTGGCCATCCAGGAGGAGATGGGTGCCTACGACTACGAGGAGCTGCAGCAGAGGGTGCTGATGCTGGAGGCACGCCTGCACGCCTGCATGCAGAAACTGGGTATGGTCCATGTGTGTCCCCCCAACCCCCTCCCCGGCCCCATGGTGGGTTTGCTACACCACCTATATCTTCCAAATAATAATAATTATCTGGGCTGCATCAAAAGAAGCGTTGCCAGCAGGTCCAGAGAGGGGATTCTGCCACTTTACTCTGCTCTGGTGAGACCTCACCTGGAGTGTTGTGTGCAGGTCTGGAGCCCTCAATATAAGAAGGACATGGACCTGATGGAGAGGGTCCAGAGGAGGGCCACAAGGATGATCAGGGGGATGGAGCAACCTCTGCTCCGAGGACAGGCTGAGGGAGCTGGGGTTGTTCAGCCTGGAGAAGAGGAGGCTCCCTGCGGGGGTCCCAGGGTCGAGCATCCCTGTGGGGCTTCCAGGGCCAGGCATCCCTGCGGGGGTCCCGGTACCCAAACATCTCTGGGGGGGAACCTGGGGCTGAGCATCCCTGCAGAGGTCCCAGGATTGAGCATCCCTGTGGGGCTTCCAGGACTGGGCATTCCTGCAGGGGTCCCGGTACCCAAACATCTCTGGGGTGGATCTGGGGCTGAGCATCCCTGCAGGGGTCCCAGGATTGAGCATCCCTGTGGGTCTCCTGGGGCTGGGTATCTCTTCAGGGCTTCCAGGACTGGGCATCCCTGCGGGGGTCCCGGTACCCAAACATCTCTGGGGTGGACCTGGGGCTGAGCATCCCTGTGGGGGTCCCAGGGTCAAGCATCCCTGTGGGGCTTCCAGGGCCAGGCATCCTTGTGGGGGTCCTGGTACCCAAACATCTCCGGGGGGGTCCCGGGACTGAGCATCCCTGCGGGGGTCCCAGGATCGAGCATCCCTGTGGGTCTCCTGGGGCTGGGTATCTCTGCAGGGCTTCCGGGACTGGGCATCCCTGGAAGGGTCCCAGGATTGAGCATCCCTGTGGGGCTTCCAGGATTGGGCATCCTTGTGGGGGTCCTGGTACCCAAACATCTCTGGGGTGGGTCCTGGGGCTGAGCATCCCTGTGGGTCTTCCGGGCTGGGTATCTCTTCAGGGCTTCCAGGACTGGGCATCCCTGCGGGGGTCCCAGGATTGAGCATCCCTGTGGGTCTCCTGGAGCAGGGGGTCCCAGGGTTGAGCATCTCTGTGGGGCTTCCAGGACTGGGCATCCCTGTGGGGGTCCCAGGATTGAGCATCCCTGTGGGTCTCCTGGGGCTGGGTATCTCTGCAGGGCTTCCAGGACTGGGCATCCCTGCGGGGGTCCTGGTACCCAAACATCTCTGGGCATCCCTGCGGGGGTCCCAGGATTGAGCATCCCTGTGGATCTCTCAGAGTAGGGTATCCCTGCAGGGATCCCAGGGCTGAGCATCCCTGTGTTGATCCCAGAGCTGAGCATCCCCATGGCACGCAGGGTTCTGCTGCACCCATTGCCTGGAGCCATCCCCCATCCCTGGCACGCTCTCCCCACCCCCTTCCCATGTTGGCTGTCGGGGACCTGCTCATCCTTTGCCTTGCTGCCTCCAGGCCAAGGTCCAAACACCTCTTCCCGTTCTCCTTGTGCTGAAAGAAGTGGAAATTTTGAAATCCTGGACCTGCCTGTTGCTCTCATTCCCCCTGGCACCGACGTTGCCCCTTCCCTCATCCCTCCTGCATTGGGCATCACCCCGTGCCCAGCCACCCCCTGCTCCCTGGATCCTGCCTGGATCCTGCATCAGCTGCGGGTGGTTCATTACCTTCCCCTCCCCAAGCTCTGGGAAGATGCAAAGCCCTGTAATTATTATTAATTAATTACCAGCCCAGGGAATAGGGCTCGTCTCTGGTGTGTTAACGAGACTCCGCTCTTCCATAGGGACTGGAGGGTTCCTTGCTAATCCTGGAGGGATGGACAGAGGGACAGCAAGACATGGGGAACAAGCACCACCAAGAGCTTAAATTAAACCAGGGGTTTTAATTAAAGGAGGGTGTGTGGATGTATTTTTGCACCCCTTAAACAGGAGCTCAAGGACAAGATGACGGAGCTGCTGCCGCTGCTGCCCGTTTTGGATCAGTACAAGTCGGACACGAGGCTGATCGTGCACCTGAAGGAGGAGGTGAGGAACCTCTCCGGGAGCTTGCTGGCCATCCAGGAGGAGATGGGTGCCTACGACTACGAGGAGCTGCAGCAGAGGGTGCTGATGCTGGAGGCACGCCTGCACGCCTGCATGCAGAAACTGGGTACGGTCCATGTGTCCCCCCAACCCCTCCCCAGCCCCACAGTGGGTTTGCTACACCACCTATATCTTCCAAATAATAATAATTATCTGGGCTGCATCAAAAGAAGCGTTGCCAGCAGGTCCAGAGAGGTGATTCTGCCACTTGACTCTGCTCTGGTGAGACCTCACCTGGAGTGTTGTGTGCAGGTCTGGAGCCCTCAGTATAAGAAGGACATGGACCTGATGGAGAGGGTCCAGAGGAGGGCCACAAGGATGATCAGGGGGATGGAGCAACCTCTGCTCCGAGGACAGGCTGAGGGAGCTGGGGTTGTTCAGCCTGGAGAAGAGGAGGCTCCGGGGAGACCTTAGAGCAGCCTTCCAGTACCTGAAGGGAGCTACAGGAAGGTTGGGGAGAACCTGTTTAGAAAGGCCTGCGGTGACAGGACGAGGGGAAATGGCTTCAAACTGGAGAAAAGCAGATTTAGATTGGAGATGAGGAAAGGGTTCTTGACTGGGAGGGTGGTGGAGCACTGGAACAGGTTGCCCAGGGAGGTGGTTGAGGCCCCATCCCTGGAGATATTCAAGGAGAGGCTCGATGAGGCCCTGGGCAACCTGGTCTAGTTGGGGGTGTCCCTGCTGACTGTGGGGAGGTCGGACTAGATGACCTTTGGAGGTCCCTTCCGACCTGGGCAATTCTATGATTCTATGATAATTATACTGGCAGCCCAGTATCCTCCAGTATAAGGTGTTTACTGGGATGCTCAGGAATTGCTACCGCTGCCTTTTCCTTAAGCATCCCCCATCCTCCTGCCCCATCCCCTGAGACTGCTGGGGGTGAAGGGGAGCCCTGGTGATGCCCAGGGGACCAGAGGATGATCCTGGATGCCCATCCTTAATTTGGGAATCTTTTTTTCCCCCCCCTCTCCCAGGCTGTGGGAAGCTGACGGGCGTCAGCAACCCCATCACCATCCGAGCATCCGGCTCCCGCTTCGGGTCGTGGATGACCGACACCATGACGCCCAGCGCTGACACCCGGGTGAGTGGTGGGGACCTCCCTCTGTCCTGGGAGCCCATCTTGATGGAGTTGGGTGCCCCCGTTTTGGCCAGACATCCCTAACCTCACCCCCCTCCTCCCCAGGTGTGGTACATGGACGGCTACTACAAGGGTCGGCGCGTCTTGGAGTTTCGGACCTTGAACGACTTCGTGACGGGGCAGAACTTCGTGCAGCATCTCCTGCCTCATCCCTGGGCTGGCACTGGCCATGTTGTCTTCAACGGGTCCCTCTACTACAACAAATATCAGAGTAACATCGCCGTGAAGTACCATTTTCGCTCTCGCAGCGTGTTGGTTCAACGCAGCTTGGCCGGCGCCGGCTACAACAACACCTTCCCTTATTCTTGGGGTGGTTTCTCCGACATCGACTTCATGGTGGACGAGAACGGGCTGTGGGCCGTCTACACCACCAACCAAAACGCCGGCAACATCGTGGTGAGCCGGGTGGACCCCCAAACCTTGGAGGTCCTGAGGAGCTGGGACACGGGGTACCCCAAACGTAGCGCCGGGGAGTCCTTCATGATCTGCGGCACCCTCTACGTCACCAACTCCCACCTGGCCGGGGCCAAGATCTATTTTGCCTACTACACAAACACTTCCAGCTACGAATACACGGATATTCCCTTCCACAACCAGTATTCCCATATATCCATGCTGGACTACAACCCGCGGGAGAGGGTGCTCTACACCTGGAACAACGGCCACCAGGTCATCTACAACGTCACGCTCTTCCACGTCATAAAGACCTCGGGTGAGCTGTGACACCCCCTCTCCCACCCCACGCTGGACTCCTCTGCTCTTCCCCCTGCCCAGCTCTTTATTTTTCTACACTTCAGCCTCGGTCATTCTCTCTAGGGGATGGAGCCTTCCTCCTCCTCCTTCTCCTCCTTCTCTTTGATTTTTTTTAATTATTTTTTTACATTTCTTTGGTTTCCTCTCGCGGTTCGTGGCGCATGGATCTCTTCTGCCTTTTCTGCCTTCATTTGAGCTGACCTCGGTTGGGTGTTTTTTTTTATTGGTTTGGGTCGGTTGGTTGGTTTTTTTTTTCAATTTACATCTTTATTTTGACGGCAAATAAAAAGAGTCTCTTTGACGTTTGATGGGGCTTGTGCTGATTTTTTATTTTTCTTCCCCCCCCAATTTTTTTAAAAAAAAGATGATTATTATTATTTGACACTGGGTGGCTTGGTTTCTCCCTCTTTTTTCCTGCACCCCCTCTGCCAGGAGCTGGCTGTGATCCACAGCCCTCTCCTCCAGATGTGTGCAGGCAGCCAGCGACGTTGTTTATGGGCATGTTTAATGCATGCGGGTGCGGCGCTGGGGAAATTACAGCAGAGCTGGGCCAGGCGAGGAGGAAAGGAAGGGAAATGATGGTGCAGCCTCAACGAGCTGAGGTGGGGAGCAGACCCTACCAAAGGGGAGCAGATCCTGCCCCTGATGGGGCCGGGGCGGCAAGATCCTGGTCATGGGGGTGAGGAGGGATGGAAGGGGTGGAGGAGATGGGGAAAGGGATGTGGAAGGGATGGAGAGGATGTGGGTGGGGGATGGAAAGGATGGAGATATGGAGGGGATGTGGGAAGGAAGGAAGGGATGGAGGAGGTTTGGAAGGGAGGGAGAGGACGTGGAGGGGGTGAAGGAGCTGTGGAGAGAAGGAAGGAAGGGGATGGAGGAGGGGATGGAAGGGATGGAGGAGGTGTTGGGGGGAAGAGGGGATGGAAGGGATGGAGGAGGTGTTGAGGAGGGGGAAGAGGGGATGGAAGGGATGGAGGAGGTGTTTTTGGGGGAGAAGAGGGGATGGAGGAGGTGTTGAGGGGGGGGGAAGAGGGGATGGAAGGG